AGAATTTGAGTAGATCGATGGATATTGGGGTCCGGAGTTCGGGGAAGGTCCGGGCTGAAGATATAAATACAAGGGGGTTCCGTGAATTGACGGTGTTTAAAGCCATGAGACTGGATGAGGTCACCAAGGGAATGAGTGTATCAAGAAAGGAGAAGTGGTCAGAAAACTAAGCCTCGGGCACTCTAATCTTAAGTGACCAGGGAAATGAGGAGGAACCAGCAAAGGGCATTGAAAGGAATAGCCAGTGAGAAAAGAGCCAAGAGCGTTGGGTGTCTTGGAAGCCAAGTGAAGAAAGTGTCTCAAGGATGAGTAAGGGGTCAGTTATGCCAAATGCTGCCTCCTGGTCAAGCTAGATGAGGACTGAGAACTAACCACCGGAATTAGCAATGCGGAGGCCATTGGCTACTATGTTAAGAACAATTTTGGTGGAGCAGTGAGAGAAAACCTGATTAGAGTGGGTTCAAGAGAGAACAGGAGAGGAATTGGAGACTGCAGGTATTGGCAAAAATTTTGAAAAGTTCTGTGGCAAAGCAAGCAGAGAATTGAGGCAGTAGCTTAAGGGGAATATGAGGTCAAGAGTTTGGTTATTGTTGACATGATAGAAATTATAACATGTTGGAAATAATCCAATGGGGGAGAAACTTAATGATGAGAAAGGAAAAAGGGAGAATTGATGAAGGGATGTCCATAGGTAGGCAAGAGGAGGCACAGATAGTATTTAGGCAGAACACTGTAATGAGTTTGAGGCCTTAGAATAAAGACACATTTCCAATGTAATATGATGCCCATTCTCCCCTGAGGTTTACTAAACCAGTGCTTCCCAACTGGCTAAACAGGATAATCACCTAGGGGAAGGGACGGCACTTTTACTTTAGATGTTACTATGATCAACTCAAATGAGTGGCTGTAAAATTGCATTTTGTTACTAACAATTAAATGGTAGTACAGAAATAACCATTCATTTATTCAACAACTATTTATTGGCCTACCATGTGCCAGTTCTAGGTGTTACTCTACTTGCTGGGGACACAACAGTGAGGAAAATAATCACGTTTAAAACATTTTTACTAGTTACGTTATAAAGAGACCTGCACGCATTTATTTGCAACAAAAAATGTGTTTGGGGTTGTCTTAAATCCTCTCTTTATGCTACGTAAAAACCCTCATTTCCCTAAGACGAATAGGTTTTATTATCAATGGTGTCCCTAAGACTGGTTCTGGAGCAGGTATTTTGGGCTCTTCTTTGCCAGGTTTTACCTGGGAGCCCTTTCAAAGACATTTAAGTGGTCTCAGAATTTGGTCACTGTTAGATACATTAACGGGATATTCCAACTTCCTTTTAAGAACTACTGAATTTCTTTTTGTTAGTCTCTTAAATGTTACTTAAATGTAGTTATAGTCTCTCACAAAACCAACTGGAGATCATTAGACTATTCGATTTCTCATCCTTCAGTTTATCGAGTAAAAAGAGTCTTACCTGTGGAAAAGTAAGGAGTATAGAATTGCTGAGACTTCTTTTTGCTAAATTTATACACTTGAATTTTCTACCTTTTACCTTTTACTAAAGAACACATTCCACCTTACTGAACCTTTTAAAAGGTCAGCTGCCACTTTGAGAGCATTTATTTGATTCAGTCTTTTCTGCGGCCTTCTTTTCAAGGCTCGTTTCTCTGATTTCCTGGTAGTATACTTATTTCATGGGAAACATTCCTTTTAGAGAAGCGCAAAGCCTTTTCTAAAGTTCTCTTTGAAACTTTTCCTCATTCATGTTCTCTAGATTTCCTACTAGTTTAAAACATTATTTTATTTTCAGATATCCTATAGTCTGTTACACTTTATTTGAGAATACATGTATTTTCCAAAATATACTTGAGTGGGTGTATGTGCGTGTACACACTCAGACACAGATTTATTTTGTAACTTCTACGTTAGCCTTGCTTTCTTCAGAGCTTATTTCTTAAAGGTGTTTCAAAGAACTCATACTTGTCCTCACACAGTTTCAAATATTGTTTACTGTTTGTATATTGCATTTGTAAAGCATTTTATGCTTAGAGTAATAACTGTACTTCAGCCTTCCCTTCCTCATCTCTAAATATTTGTGTATCACAGAACTCAATCATATCATATTCATTATTAGAGATCTGAAATAGCATGGCCTAAAAATTTCCTACCTGAAGCAATTACACACAGTAAAAAAGCCTGTTATAACATGGCTGGTCTGTAACACATGCATTTCCCTCCTGCCCTATAAAGTCAGCCATCTACTCCTAGTGCTTCTACTGGAGCCCTCCTACTGCTGGATGTGAGGGGGTGCAGGTGGGCCAAGATTTCTAAGAACTCAGGAGTACTATGCATGTGCCTATATGTATGCAAAAGTTTATGTTCACGTCAGTTAAATGTATTATGTGATTAAAGCGCTTTGCAAATCTGGAATCCAAATAGTAAACAGGATAGGTAACGTTGACAGGACAAACATTCCAAAACTAATACAAATACAGTAACTAAGCTTAAAGAAAACAAGGTTTGCATAAAAGCAGCACACGAAAATTGTCAAAATATCCATTTACACATTTTTGCCCAAAAGTGAGTATAAACAGATTAAGAAAATTCCAAAGTTTATAAAAATTAGAAATTCTTTTAGGAAAACTGTAATCGACATGAATGAAGAGCTTCAAAGTGTATTTTAGATGAAGCTTTTTGCTCCCCTTAAAAGAATGCTTTGCAGAAAATAAGCATATGGCCATAAAAGCAGAGAAATGAACCCTGAAAATAAGGCCACTGAAAACACTTATACTACTCCCATGGGTAAGTTACTTAACTGCTCAGTGCCTCTGTTTACTCTTATAAACCTGTGAAATAATGCCCTTAGTGGGCACACAGAAAGCACTCAACAAATGTTAGCTATTGTTTTTTGACTTTGTCTCCTTCTTGGTAAGTCAGGAAGTTTCTCTTACCCTCAAATATGAGGAGAAGATATTCCAGAACCTCCGGAAAGTTTCTTGGTATTAGGAGCTGCTCTGAAGAATTGGTTGGAAGAGATGAAGAGACTGTTCCTACTACTTTGAGCAAACAGAAGGTGTTGACAGCTGGGGCCAAACATCAGGGCTCCACCAGGAAGGAAAGAGTGCTTCTGATGTCAGCGACTTTGGAACTTGACTATGTTTTTCTCATTTTAGTGTAGTGGCGAAATAACTGGGACTTATGCAACGAAATAACTTAGCTGGCCAGCGGTACTCACATGCCGGTGCCAATTCTCATACTAGGACGCCTCGGAACCGGGGCTGGGCTTTACCAATATCTCCCACTACATCCCGGAGTGGGAGAAAGCCGGCTACACCTGCCGAAGGCTGCAGCACAAGTTTTAAGTGGAAACAAAAATCTTTTCTTTAGGAATGAGGTCGGCGCTTTTTTGTTCGCTTGCTTGTGGAGAGTTAACTATTGATGGAGACAAGGCAGCCTGTTCAGAGGCAAGGCTAGACGTTTCAGCCGGTGGGCACCTCCTTCTGAACCCTTTCCTCTCCTCTCGATTATTTTCTGCGACATGACCCCAGTCCACTACTTTCTTTTTCTAAAGACTTTCTCTGCCAAGGCCTTGACTTCACTTTTTGGAAAGTGCTTACAAATAAATGGCGCTTTCACCACGAGCTAGAGGTTTCTTCAGCCAAACAGCAGCCAAGGAAACTGTCAGGACATCGTGAGCGGCATTATGCAAGGACAATAGAAACTGCCATGGATTGCGGGTTGCCAGAGGCGGGTGAGCAAGTGAAATGGGTGAAGGGGGTCAAAAGGTACGAACTTCCAGCTATAAAACAAATGAGTCCTTGAGAAGTAATGTACAGCATGGTGACAAGAGTTAATAACACTGTATTGTTATATATCTGAAAGTTGCTAAGAGAGTAGCTCTTAAAAGTTCTCATCACGAGAAAAAATTGTAACTACGCCAGGCAATAAACGTTAACTAGACTTACTGTGGTGATCATTTCGCTGTATATATAGAACCACGTTATACACCTGAAACTAATAGAATGTCAGATGTCAATTATAGCTCAAAGCAAAACAGAACGCCACGGCCTGAGCCCTCCGCGCGCCAGCCTCACCCCGAGGAGGCAGGCCCGCAGCTGGCCCGCCGCGCGCCGCCTGCGGGCATTTCCGGCCCCAGTTCCCGGCAGCGCCGCACAGGAGGCCCCGAAAGGGAACTTTCGCCGGTCGACAGCCGCAAAAACAAGCTGGGCTCAAGACGGACCAACGACCAGGCAGGGCCGCGAAACACCCTTTTGAGTCCTGGCAGCTTCTCGGGCTCGCTGAGTCGAACGCTCTGGGAGGAGTGAAACCAGATGCTGACACCCCGGCTAGTGGCTGGCGGGCCCCTTCACTCAGGCTGACGACGAAAAGGCAAATGCTCGCCCCTCCGCTGTCCCCGGCTGCCTCGCTCTCCCGATCTGCAGTTCTCCCAACTTGAAGCAAGTTCAGCGAAAGGCCTCGCCTCCAGAGCGGCTCCGCGCCCCTGACTGCGCGCGCTCGGGCCACAGGGGGCGATTTGGGGGCGCTCGTGGGCTCCGGCACCTCCCCTTCGTTCCCGTTCCCGGTACCGCTGGGGCGCCTCGAGCGAGCCCCAGCCGCTCGCAGCAGAGTTAACCCGGTGCAGCCGGCGCCCGCCTCGCCGCCGCCGTGCCCAGCGCCCCCGGGATGCGTCTCACAGCGACCCCCGGGCCCGGCGCGCCCCGCCCCGGCGCCGCCACGCCCGCGATCGCCCGCGGCCGCCCAAGTCCCTCTCTGCCCGGCCCCGCGGCCCGGCCGGAATACGCCCACCTCCCTCCCGCCGCGCGCCCCGCCGACTCGGCTCCCAGGCGCGCTCCGCACCCGGCTCGCCGGCCCCCGCGCACCCAGCGCTCCTCCCTCACCCCCTCGCTCGCCCTCGTCGGGCCCACTCCGTCGGGACTCGGCCGAGTACCCCCGGCCCGCGCCTCCCTCCCCGTCGCTTCCCAGGAGACGCCCAGTACCTATGCCCTGGATGAAGACGAAGCCAGTGACCACAAGCACCGGGTGCCAGTTAAACTCCAGCGCGGTCCCATCCCAGCCGAGCCCCTCCCGGTAGTGGAGGACCCAGACGAGGGTGAAGATCACGGACAGGAAGCCGACGAGCAGCGCCGACACCAGCAGCCCCAAGAAGCCCCTGTAGCCGTCCATGGCCATCAGAGTCCCATACTCCGCGCCTGGGCAAGCCACAGGAACAGAGGGAGGCGGCGGCGGCCTCTGGGTACCAGCCCCGCGGCCGGACGCGGGCGTCGACTTCTTGAAGCAGTCTCCGCCCGGGAGGAGGGGCTTTCTCGCCGGCCTGCCAGACATGTAGGGCCTTCGGTGGGTGGGCAGCTGGCCCTCGCTCAGAAACCAGCCCCACCCCTGGGATCTTGCGGCCGCCCAGCGCTCTCTGCGCAGTAGCCGCCCCCTGTCCCGGCATCTGAGCTTGCCGGGGGTTCCAGTAACTGTCCAGTTAGTTCAGAGCGAGAGCTCCGAGGATTCCAAACCTACCACTTTCTTTTAACTCTTCCGATGTCTCTTCCTTCATTGTGGGGAGGCTGAGTAAGGCAGTGGTGTGCACTCTCGGTTAACAGAAGACAGGAGTCCGCTGGGTGGAGTCGTGTGTGATTTTGATTAACTAAGCCCCCTGAGCCCCGGTCCTAGAAGAATTGGCTGTCTTCTTTTTGTTTGTTTGTTTTTTGGTGAGGAAGATTGGCCTGAGCTAAAATCTGTTGCCAATCTCCCTCTTTTTGCTTGAGGAAGATTGTCCCTGAGCCAACATTTGTGCCAGTCTTCCTCTATTTTCTACGTGGGTGGCTGCCACAGCATGGATTGATGAGTGGGGTATATGTCTTAGCCTGGGATCTGAACCTGCAAACCCCCAGCCCCAAAGCGGGGGGCAGAAACTTAAGCACTGCCCACCAGGCGCCCCGAGATTGGCTGTCTTTGATGCCCAGGAAGGAACCTACGGGGCGGCATGGGCTTGGACATACCTTGCAAGGAAACTACTTGCAGTTTGCGCTTTGGAGAGGGAAGACAGACACCTCGAGGACCCTGGACTTGCCTATGTAGTGTAATAAAAAATCGATCTTAAAAGTGTCCACCTGCCCAAACCTATTTGGACCAAAACCCCACCTTGATGAAGTGAAGCTGACACCCTGCCCTCTTTCCAACATTATCATCACCTTTCTTTCTCCATTGGACAAGAAAAGTGTCAGTGTTATCTATTGCTATTAGGCTATTAGGACTTCTAGAATGCATTGGGAACATTCTCTTCTGTCTCCTGTAGCTCATCTCCAGGGACTAGTTTACCATATTGTCTTGCCATTTTGAAAGACCTTAGAATACTCAGGAAGTGTACAGGAGTGATTTTCAATGGAAAAGACAAGGTTTTAGGCCAAGGAATTAGTGGCAGGATTAAGAGTTAAGAGTAAGAGGCTCTAGACTTCACCAGTGTCATTATTTTTCCCTTGGTGGACAGAGAAAAAGAGGGAGAGTAAGCAAATGGGAAAGAATGACCCCTTCTGGCAGTATAAGGCTTTCTGTGGTCTAGCCCAGACTAGTCCTCCACTCTAACCCTTTACCACAACCTGACTGGCCCTGATGTCCATGGCTGTGAACTTCTCTCCCAGCTCTAGACCACTCCCTACCCATGTCCGTGCCTCTAAATTTTCCTGACCCCATCTCCACCAAGAAACCTCCTCTGAGTCTGCCTATGGCCCTATCTTACACCTCCACCCACCTCCCCATCCAGTGCCTCTCTGCATCACTTATCAAAATGTAATGTAATAATCTGTTTCTGTGGCTGTCTCCACTCCCCCAACTGCCCCTTTGAGGGTATTAACTGTTTAATTTATCATTTTATTTTTTCCTTGGCATATAGTAGTTACTCAGTAAATGTTTGTTGGGAGAAGAATGGGATGGAGTGTGTCAGTCAGGGCTTGGCAGGAAACAGATGGCACATTCCAATTGGGCAATTTAATAATGAGCAGAACTATTTACAAAAGTGTGGGCAGGGTGTGTGAAACCACAAGGGTTTACAGTGCCCATGCCTGAAGGGGACATGGTTGCTGGGATCTAGAGATAGGGAGAGAAAGAGAGGGAGAGAACTGTGTAGAGAAGGCAGTTTGACTGGGGCTACGCTATAGTCTGGAGTTGAAGGAAGCAGCCAGCCTGCAGGGACCCCACAGGGAGGAAGAATGGGAGGCGGGATGAATATTCCAGCCTTACTCTCTTCCCCTCCAATTTCCTGCCCAGGGACACAGTGGCTGCACCTAATCAGAAGCCAGAAGTCAGTCCATATGGGTCAGCCTCCCAGGACACACAGTAGATCCATAGGAATAAATAGAAACTAGCACTGAATCTTCTAGTTCTATTTTTTCAGAACTTTTTGGTTCCTGAGTGCTGCATATATTCCCTGTTTAATTATGTGCTGTTTTTCTTCCTCTGTGAACTTTAGCTGGTAATTCTTTAACAACGTCATCGTGTGCCTGTCCTTCTCCTTAAAAGTATCTAGTCTTTGTCCCCAGTTAACTTCTTCATCCCCTTAACTCAGTACCTTCACTCCACTCTTGAGTTGATTTTGCTCCACAGCAGCAGAAAATAAGAATCTCTGATTCCAGACCCTGTTTAACAAAATATCTCCAGAGAAAGAAAACATGGCCAAATGGTATGGATGGTGTGGAATCATCTCGAAGTTACAAGCTAAACTGAGAAAATTTCAACTTTTAAGTTGTCCTTTAAGGACCTAACGTGGATAAAATTTGTCACCTGGAAGAGGAAAATTTTCACTAAATATTGTTGTGGCTTAGTGTTAACAACATTTTCTTAATAGATTTGTCCAATGATAGGAGATGGTAGACAATTTGTCACCAAAGTACTTACTCAGACTAGATAACCTGTCAGCAACTCGATCTGAGGGGTTCCTGATGTGAGTGGGGGGAGCATGGGGGTGGGACATTCAACAACATAACCTTCTAAAAAACCTGTGATTCTAGAAACATGTACATAATGACATAGATTTTTATTGTCGCTGACATAGGCATAAAATACAGAGTAAGAAGAAAGGGGGTGAAGTGGTAGGGCAAGAAAACCCAAACCCACCCATCCATTGAACTTCCATGAGGTAACGGTGCATTTCTTTTGGTGTGTGCAGAGGTCCAGTATTCTACTGTAAAGTATGATAAGTTGTACATAGTGGTTTGCTTGGTGGGATTAGTGGATCATGTTTTAAACTTTCAAATGTTGACTGTGTGTTGCTTACTCTGTTTGCCCCTCCATTCTCCACCCTTCTTTGCCTTCCCTTGTGTCCTGGCAGGCTCCTTGCCTGCTGGCTTCGAATTGGCTTTGGCCAATGGCAGTGCTGGAAGGAGATCAGAGGGCAGGAAGAAAGAGAGATCAGAGGGAAGGAAGAGAGGTCGACCTATTTATCCCTCTAGGCCCCCTTGCCAGGCCATGTTTTTTGCAGTGGTTGAGTTCCTCTTTGCCACTATGACTTTCAACTTTTGGGTGGCCCCTCTCCCACAGCTACATCTCTCCCAGGGTCCAGTTAGACCACGCCCCCTTGCTTCTACAGGCCCAGGTGTAGTACTGGCTGCCTGCTTTTGCTTGTCCTGGGTCTTCACCATTCTTTGTTGGGTTCTCTTAAGTCTGTTTGCACCTCTGTAAATAGTCCTTTTATTAAACTCTCTTCAATTAAATCCTTTGTGCAAACCAGCTGCTTCCTGCAGGACCCTGACAGGGACAAGTGGGAAAATACTCTCACATAACACTACTGTTTCCCTAGCCCCTCCTAATTGTCTATGCCTTCTTAGGACATGTTATGAAAGGAGGAATACATGAAGCAAGAAAAAAATCACAAGCAGGAGGAATGAGCTCATACATCTTCCTGTCCTCCCTTCTACTAGACAAGAGATTTGGGGATCACAAAGCTGTCTCAGATGACTAAGATAGATGGACTCAGAGCTGACACCATGATTCACGATGTAAGCCAAGCTCAGGCGGTGATCAAAGGCTCCTTAGTGAAATAAAGCGAGGGTTGCAGTTTTGAAAAGATCACAGTCAAACTCATGTTAATGGGAGGAATATAATTTCCTCATCTGAGGCTAGACTGTGTTGTCTTCAGGGTAAAAAACTCCATGTCTTCTTTGCTGAGGTGTTTCTCCTCTGAGGGAAGTGGTGAAGAGATCAGCTCCAGCTCTTGCTGTGGGGAGAGTGGCTATGGAAGCAGCCTCTACCACCTCCCTAACTCAGGAGGCCCTCAGAGTCCGCCTGCCCCAAGAAGGCAGCTGGAGTGAGAAATGACTTCACTTGTATCTGGCCATGGCCCGAGGGACCCCAGTTTGGGAAGAGGTGGGAAGAAACTCTCTTCCTGAGGGAGCAGAATAGTACAGCAGACTGGGAAGCAGACACAAGGAGTAGAGGAAGATGTCTGAGGGGGAGGACCTTAAAAGGAGCCCAAGCAAAAGGCCCAACTCTGTGGAGCCTCATGTTGTATTGGTGGGAAGGGGTAGGTTAGACCAAGGCATTACTTCTGTTCCTTCCATACGATACTGCTTGGTAAGATCTACCTGACCCGCCATTTAATTTTTAAAATTGCTTCCGTTATCATCTTGGGTGAGTTTGGTTTGGGGAAAACTGGTGAGGCGGGAGGCAGTTAGGAAAGAAATTGGTAGCTCTTCCTAAACATCTGGCAAGATAAAATTGCAATGACCCCGTCCTGGTCCTATCTCCCCAACCCAGCCATTAGTCGGTGAGGCTAGTCCAGGCAGAGTCTTTATCCAGGCTGAAGAGAAAGAGGATTAAATTCCCTGATTCCCTAATTCTCATCTGCCCCCTTTATTCCTTAGGTTAGCAAGAAATAACCAGGTGAGGAAGAAAAGAATGGGGCTTGGTCACACCTAGGTTCTATTTCTTTTAGAACCCTCCTCCTCACACAAATTTATAACCCCAGGTTAACATAGAAGCTCCTTCAAGGTGAAGATTTGGTTTGTCTTATTTGCTGCTGTTCGTTCATCCAGAGCCTATGCTCTGAAAATGTGCCCGGGACTTGTTCTGAGCATGTATAGTATGACACACAGACACGAAAATGATTGCCATGAAGGAAGAAGTAATTTTTTTATATTCTCAGTGCCCTAGACACAAGGGGCATGGCATGCCACACAGGGCCACACAGGCAAGTACTGAAGCAAGATAAGCAGGCAGAGAGGGGAAACTGCCAGCATGAGCCTTTATTGTGGTTTTTGAGGGAAGGAATGGGCAAAGCAAAGTAAGCAAGCAGAAAAGACTTAACGATTGGCTAGCTTGAATAATTTTGGCGGGCTCTGGTGATCCCCCGTTGTCTGGTTCCTGGCCCTATAGCGACTGAGGCAAGGGATAGAGTCCTAGACTATAGAAGTCTGATAAAGGAGACGGGTCAGGGATAGACTCAGAATTGGATAGTCTGCATATCAAAGGCGTGCTGGCAGGCAAACTCTTATCTCTGGGACTTAGTTTATCCTGGGAGGGGCGGTTCCCCAGTCCACAAGGCCCCAAATGCCAGAGCATCAAAAATAAGGAAAAGAAGAAAATATAATTAATACAGCCTAGAACAGTTGACAAAGAAAAGGCATTTAAAAAAATATTCACGGACTGACTATAAGGTTAGATTAGAGAGCCTAAGATCAAGTCAGAGATGTAG